CCGTCACCAAAAATGGATATCTCAAAAGAGTACAAAGAGGGATCAAATTCCTGAGGCGGGGGGGGGGGGGGGGGGGAGCGTCCGCCCCCCGCCCTTCCCCCTATATCCGCTGGTATATCCATTTATTTTTTGGTAGAGTTTACGTTATTTAGGCACTATAAAAGCTCAGAAGCAGAAGAAGATTGGTATAAGCAAATTACATGTCTCATTTATAATCGCAGCAAAAAAAAGTTCGTACCACCAAGATAAAATATTTTTGGTGGGGGGGGGGGGGGGGGTAGGGGACGTATTGTCAGCGAATTGAAACCCAGCCGATCCACAGTGTCCTAATTTGTACTGATTTGAGATATCCATTTTTGGCTGACGGACCCTATGTTTTTCTAAAGGCGCTTTTGGCGCACGTCAATGCTTACTAAACTTGAAGGGGAAGCTCGCGCCGAAAACACGCCATTTTTATGTTAAAATTTTCCTAAAACAGCCTAAAACGTGAGTTTTTGAAATTTTGTAAAATGGGGTCCTTATAGAGGTTTATGAGAGATGGGAAAATCAATTTGGTCGACCTAAGAAAAAAAAGGTCGAAAAAAACTTCAACATTTTTTCGAAAATCCGCCTTCCTAGCAAAAATCCTGGATCCGCCCGCCAGTGGTTCGCATTAAGAGAAAACCCGGAACGTTCCAGCTTCTTTTGAAAATATCCAAGGTAATTGTTGATTAAAAAACGGTTAATTTTTAAAAAAGAATGTTTTGAATAATGTCTGTTTTACAATCTATCTTTGAAGCAGTGGTAGGTAAAATTAGCCAATTTGGCCTTTTTCTACCCCTCTTTTTTTGCAAAAGAAATCGCAGGTGAAATTTGTTTTCAAGCAGAGGATTGTTTTCAAAATTTTGCAGAGAATATATGAAATTCTGTCAAAAATTGATTCCTAAAAAGCCGATTTTTATAGGGAAAACTTTTACCAGCGCAAACATTTCGTCACTTGCTTTAAAAGTTGCGGAATAATAAGCTTGATCAAAGTTAACAAAGTCATCTTTATACACAAACAAGTCATTAGTCATAATAAATATTAGCCGTTAAAAAGTTGTTTTTGATTGAGGAAAACTGCCATCAACTTTTTTGAACGTCATCAAAAAGTTTCATAAAATAACCCTTTTTCCTAATTCACATCACAATGACAAGTTCCGAATGACAAATCTGAAGTTTATGGTGAATAGTGATTTATGTTTGGATTCGCACTAAAATTATTTTAACTTTGTTTTAATCGTATCCAAAATTTTTGATTGGGCTACGTTATAAACAAAAACTATAGATTTCTGTATGAAAATTTTTTAAAGTGAGCATAAGAATGAAATTGAAAAGAAAAAAAGAAAAAAAATATCTGAATATTGTGTTTTATACTTGTTTTATAGCAATGTAAAAACCGCTTACCATACCGTTCCCATATAAACATATTGTTTGATAAGCACGTTTTCCATGGAGTCGTATGGACTTGTATGAGAAACATTTTCTTGAGTATAATTGTATGAGAAGCATTTTTAGTTTCTCGTGTATGCAGGTCAACCCGACGAAATGGTAATGGAGCATTTTTCCGATCAGCACAAAGATTAAGCAAATAGTGCAGAAATTAGCAGAAGTTCAATTTGACTTAATTCTTTTTTTTTCATTAAATAACTTCGTTCAATTTTTGCCTGCGCTGTTTTGAGGAATCTAATTTGAAGATAGTCAACACTGCCTGTTTCAGTTCAAAAACCTTTCAGTTGTTTCAAGTAAGCTTTGTTCACAGTCACAGATTAAACTATCAAAGCAGTGGTGAAGCGGAGCACCGCATCACTTGAGATACATTGCATAAAGAGCACAAAACGATTACCGAGGAAACCAAACAGAAGTCACAGAATTGAAAAAAAAACTTGAAAAAAGACGAAACAATTAATTTTCAAAAAGACTTCTCGCTGACAGTCCGGCGAAGGACGCGAATTGTACATATTGTAATTTTAAAGGCTATTACACGAAAAAACTTAAATCTCGAAGAAAAAACGTAAATACTGTAAAAAATCACAAAATTGTAGATAACGAATTTGTAAATCCGTCGGACCAACCTGCTGTAAATAAGCATGTAAATAAAGATGTACATAAAGAATGTAATTAATGCATAGTCAGAAACTGGACAAAAGGATAACGACGTTTATTTAGTAATAAACGTGACTACGATTTGTGATAACGATGGAAAAGAATTGCAGAAACTACTTGCATTGGGAAAGGAGAACTTCGTAAAAACTAAATATACAGGGTGGACTCGGCAAGCCCAGTGAGTTTTTTCGAAAAAAAACGTACTACATGAACTTAAGTTCGACCAAGCTATGAAAGACCTTTACTGCGGCTTCACGGTTGACTCGATAAAGATCGTGGGACAAGTTATCGTACCAATAAGATCCAACGGATGGACGTACGACAAAACAGCTTTCTTTATAAACGATGGCCACGAACGAAACATCCTAGGAAACGGCAATCTAAAATACGTTGGAATAGAAGTCGCGCAAAAACCCCCTTTCCACACTACAACAACAGCAGTGAAAATAAGTCATTCATAAATTCCATCGGATAATACAAGAATGAAACAGAAACCATTTTTAAAAAATTCAATCAATTATTTGACACCATTGGTAAAACAAAGATCAAAAATAAATAAAACCAATACATTTAGGAGGGCGTAGGGTTGCGCTACATTCACTTCCGGCGGTAAGCAAAGAGCTCGGCAGGCTGATCTCAGAAGGACATGTTAAGAAATTAGAGTCATGCGACAAAGGTAGATTTATCAGCCCAGTAGTAATTAACTGCAAGAAGCATAAATCAATAAAGCTTGCGTTAGACTCAAATTTTTTGAAAAAAACAATTTTCAAAAATTATTAACAGATGCCGAGATGCCGATCATACGTGAACTAATAAATAACGTTGGTTCACAACTTTCAGAAAAATCCGACGGAGAAGTTTGGTTCACAAAGAGTTAGACCATAAAAATGCGTACAGCCTTAACTTGGACGACTTCACGGGTAAACAGTGTAATTACAGCACCCCTGGATGAAATTTAACTGGTACATATCAGTTTTCAACGGGATTTTACGGACTTAGCAAAATGCCAAATGAATTCCAAAGAGTAATGGACTCAACTATTGGAAATATCTGAGGTGAAATATCTGATCAAATTTAAGCTCAGTACAACAATATCTTTTGAGTGGTGTAGAAAGTTCCGTTGAAAAAAGGCTAGTTAAAAAGTCGAAATTTAACTGAAGAAAAAAGCCCACCCGAGCACAAATAGTTAGTTTCTTTCGTTACGAAAGTCGGAACAAGAATGACAACAAGACTGATCGTATATCAGGGCGAAGCTTATCCTGGCTACACATCCTGGCTACACTTAAAACCAACTGATTTTTTTGATTGAATCAGTGACAAAAAACTTGAGAAAAAAAAAGATTTTTTTTTTCATTTTTTCTTCATTTTACCCGATATGTAGAATACTAACTGAGTGATTAGCGTCTCATATTGTTTCATATGATTAAATTGCTGGCCTTATCTCAATTTGAAACACAACAAGACTGCTCGTATCAGGGTGAAGCCCTGAAAGTTCCGACTGCCTTTTAACGTTTATGGAGCAGTAATAACATAAACAACATAAAAAAATTAAATGAAATAAAATAAAATGCAAAAAACAATTTTTCTAAAATTTGAAAACTTTTCTTTAAAAATCATCCCCCCACACGCCATATAAAGTACAAAACAATAGACTTCGCTCCTTGTAACAAATCAATTATGGCAAATAAGCTTCTTACAACCAATTTAGAACGATTTCTAAGACGGATAAATTCTCCGCTTACGCGTTAATAGCGCGAATTATATCGCGCGTTAATTGTCCCAAATTGGTCAAAATGGCCAAAATGGCAATCTTTAAACCCTCATAACTTTACGAAAAATGATCACAGGTAAAATATTTTTTCAAATTTGAGCTCAGGACAACAATAGCTTTCGAATGATCTAAAAAATTTCCGTCAAAAATGGCTAGTTAAAAAGTCGAAATTTGTCTGAAGAAAAAAAAACCCACCCCGAGCACAAATATTCCGTTACTTTCGTATCGAAAGTCGGAACAATAATTTGCTTCTTAAGTGTAATATAAATTTGCAATACGTCACACTTTAATTATACCCAATTGGCCAAATTAGCAGTTTTCAAAAGCACGTAACTTTACGAAAACTGATCACAAGTTAAGCATTTTTTATATGTGAGCTTAGGATGCCAATATCTCTCAGATGATAAAAAAATTTTCCATCAAAAACGCTTAGCTAACGGGTCGAAAAAATGAATAAAAAAACACACCAAGCATAAATATTCAGCACTTTCTTTAGAAGTCAGAACAATAATAACTTGTTGTTTTTTGGTTTTGTGTTCATTTGTGTTTGCAATTCAGCCATATGCCTTTTTCAAAAGATGCCAATATATACCAATTTGAAAGGGCCCCCTTCAAAATTAGCATTTGCGTACACCTTTGAAAATCTTTTTGGTCAAACAGTGCTTATTGGTTATCAATAAAAGCTTGAGTCAAAAGCATTTGCACAAGTTCAAAAGAAACAAGCTATTGTCAATATTGCGGTTTTGTTTCATTGTGATTTTGCGTCAATTTTTAGAGAACGGTCATTGAGTGAACTTCCTGACAGGTCCTTATATACTTGCAGAGCACACCAAAAAAAAAATTTTGGTCAAAATCTTAATGTGCTCAAAAAGGTCTTAGGAGCTCGGAAAATCATTTCGATTGAACAAGCTTTTCGAAAAAAAGTTTCCAAGAAAACACCACTCTTGCGCGCGTGAAAAACTCCTGTGCATGCCGCTAGTTTCGTGTTTATTTTTTATCCGCAAATTTTAGTATAGTTTTTAAATAGATAAAACTAGACAATGAGCTACAACAAAATCTATTTTTATTAGATTCGTTTCGATCATAACAAGTCAAAGCTTGATATTCTCATCTTCTTTAAGAGTTTCTGCGCTACGCTAAGATAAAACTAAATCGCACGAAAAAGTTCCAATGATTAGCTTCAGATATTGCTTTTTCTATATTAGAATGCAAAGAAGAAAATCTATTAGATTTAAAATCGGCATTGTTTTACTTATAACTTTGGGTTTTATTATTTTAACACCGCCAGAAAATATTAATTACTTCTCACGTTCAATAAATGGTAAGCGCAATACTATAGTCAAGGCAACAGGAATTTTTGACGATGAGGTGTGGGTCTGAACTAAGCAAATTTTGGTCCTACGGTCTGGTCTTAAAACCACAACTCGACCCGAGAAGACGCATTTGGTAAGTTTTAGGGTTGGTTGGAGGTGAAAAGATGACACTGCATTCATTTTAAATTTGCGATGACAGTGCTTATCGAGTCGATTAGCCCAATCATTTTTTTTCAGTCGGATACCGGAACGAGAGCTTGGGGTTCACTTTCAAATTATATTGGAAAAAATGAAAATTGATAAGTTTCATACTTTTTTTCAGGATTTCACGGAAGCAAAGTTATGCGCAATTCAAAATATTCATGTGAAGTCAAACAAAAATGCGATTTCGACGATTGCGTAATTAGGCTCCCCGAGTTCACAGCAGCCGACTCAGAAGACGACAACAAACAAGTGTTCTTCGTAGAGTCGTATAACAAGTCCAAATTCAAAGGACGCTTCGTATGCGGCATGGAAACAGCAGTACATTTCGCTAACATGCCAATTAAAGTTGTAATGAACTCGCCATTTTTAAATTTATCTCAACCACAATTGCGGAACTTGGTGAAAAATTTCAGTCCGCACAAAATTCAGTTTTACACAATAAAAGTAGACGAATTATTCGCTGACACGCCAATTGAAGGCATGTTAGAAGTCGTTAACATGTCAAATACGAACACCAAAACACACATTAGTGATATGATGAGAGCTGCGCTGCTTTACAAATACGGAGGTTTCTATCTCGATTTCGACACTTTAACTCGCTCCGATTTGACAAATATCACAAATAGCGTAGGCTTAGAAAGTCGTTACTTACCTAGTTTACAGTGTACTCTGCAATCTAGAGGCAACCATCAGGGTCAAAAATCAAAGTGGGTTAATAACGGGGCCATGCAGTTTAACAAAGGGAACCCATTTATGTGGGTTTATCTTAAGGAAATTAAAGAATTTTATCACGGCAACATGGAATGGCAAGATGTCGGACCGGTTATTATGACCACAGCGGCTAAAAAATTTCTAAACTACACCGATTTTTATCACTTGATTTGGACGTATGAGAGCTCGGAACTATCGATACTGCCATCGTTCACGTTTTTATACATGGGCAAGCATATGACGAGGTTTTACTCGTTTGACGTCAATTATGACGCTTCCTTGTGGGAGAGTATTATCAGATGTAGCAGAGTTGTCCACTTAGCGACGCCCTTCTCGAAGTATAAGCCTGTGACTGGGAACCCAAGGAGAGATATCTACTCGTACCTTGGCCCCAAACTCTGTCCCATGTCATTAAGATGTTTGCAAACTTTTTGATTGATTTGGTTGGATTTTAAAAATATTAGTTTTGATGGGATTTAAAAGTTATGTACAAGATTCTAAAAAAAAACATTAATTGTTTTCAAGAAAATGTTTACAGAATTCAACAAACAAATTGGCAAAGATTTTTTATTTACATCGCTTTTATTCGGTAAGAGCATGAATTTGACGCATTGCGTGCACACTTTATGTTGTTTTAGGTTTTGTCGATAACTCATTATAAAAAAGAGTTTTTGACATCAGTTCTCAAGAAAGAACCATATTCAAAAATGTTTTTTTTCTCCATACTCAAAAGTTTTTTGAGTTTTTATCATTTTTATACCAAATTGAGGAAAAAAACTGGTTGACAGCTTTCAAAAATCTTGATTACAACCCATCACTTACGGAAGGATAATCTAATACGCGGAAAAAGATTGTTTTTTTTTTGATGCTATAATATATATAAGGGCGCCCTTGGCGCCAATATATACTAATTTTGAGGGGAGGGGAGGGGAGCGCGCACCATAAAAACGCTTTTTTTGGCCTATTTTTCAAGAATTTGCCTGCAGCGCAGAAAATTTGACCAAAACATGGCCTTTTTAGTGCTCTGGGAGAGGTCGGAAAATCAATTTGGTTGACTTAAAAAAGAGGAAAAATTTTCGATTTTTTTTTTGAAAATCCGCCCCTCCTCAAGAAAATCCTAGATCCGCCCCTGCCTGGAAACATTGAAAGCTGAAGGCTTCATTCTTGTGATGTGCGTTCCTAAACTTTGTTTCGTTCACTTAGATAGGGTATGTTTAACAAGGAATTTTGAATGAAATCAAAGAAGTTAAAACGTTCCTTTTCATGCCCTCAAAACTTTTCTGAGTTCACTCAATTATATACCAGAGTTAATGAACAGATTGATGTCACAGTTGGAAAGCATAACTGGGATAAACACTTAATCACAAAACTAGGTGGGTTATATTTATCTGCTGAGAAAATATGTTTTTGACGCTAGATTTCCCCGTGAAGCCCGAATTGTTTTCTAGAACATTTAACTTTTATAGCAACCGTTGAGAGAATTTCCAGGTTTTGTAGAGAAAAATTTTGTTTGGTTTACTAAATAACTTTTTTTGAAAACGATGATTTTTCTCAATCGTGGCTCGTTGCTCATATTATATAACTGAAACTGCAAAATAATTTCATTGATTATCAGTTGGAATCAACAAAACAGGAAATAGGGTCAAAAGAGGAAACAAAAGTTGATTTAGGAAAAAAAAATTTTCTTAGAAAGTTATTCTGATGACTTTTTGATATAGTTCAATTTTCTGGAGAAATTCGAGTTTTTTGTTTACCTTAGTCCATCTCTGGAAAATTTTGTTGCAGGATCACAGAAAAATTAACCAATAAAAGCAAAGATTATCTTCTACATCGATACAATTCATTGGTGACATGACTTCTCAAAAAACTGGGCTCTTCAAAGCTCAAAAAAGTAGTGATGAATTCTTGTCAATTTTACGCCAGAGCTGTCTAAATTTGTAAATGACACGCCTGAAAAAGTCTAATAAGAATCTTACAGAGACAACTAATCTCCTAGTAAGAGAGAAATACACTAGTCCGCAGAAAAAGATTGCTTTAACGCTAGTATGCAATGCTTTTCTAAGTTTCTCTCTGTACAATTTTTCTTATGTACTTAGATGTTTTGGGCAAACTTAAGAATATATTTGTATACATTAAGGACTGAAGGTGTTTTTATAGTGATGTCCGCTCGTTTACATTGTGCTTTCTCCGCAGTATTAGTTGCAGAAGCGCAAAAAATTTAAGCAAAAGGCAAAGATTGTAATTGTTCCGACTTTCGATACGAAAGTAACGGAATATTTGTGCTCGGGGTGGGTTTTTTTTCTTCAGACAAATTTCGACTTTTTAACTAGCCATTTTTGACGGAATTTTTGACATCATTCAAAAGATATTGTTGTTTTGAGCTCAAATTCGAAAAGATTTTTTACCTGTGATCATTTTTCGTAAAGTTACGGGGGTTTAAAGATTGCCATTTTGGCCAATTTGGGACGATTAACGCACGATATATTTTGCGCTATTAACGCGTAAGCGGAGAGTTAATCCGTCTTAGAAATCGTTCCAAATTGGTTGAAAGAAGCTTAATTGATTTTTTACAAGGTGCGAAATTTATCCTTTTATGCTTTATATGGCGTTTTGGGGGGATGATTTTCAAAAAAATTTCAAACATTAGAAAATTTTTTTTTCATTTTTTTCTTTCATTTATTTTTTTAATGTTATTGCTGCTCCATAAACCTTAGAAGGGCAGTCGGAACATTCAGGGCTTTGCCTTGATACGAGCAGTCTTGTTTACTTTGTTATACTTTGGTTAGAGAAAGAATTCAATGTATCTAGTGTATTATTTATGGTTGCTTTACTTTTTTATCAAGAATGGACTATTTTTGACACGAAATATCAAAACTGTAAAAAAAATTTCCAAGCTCAAAAAAGATTGATCAAAACTTTTACGCGACACGCTTAAAAGGCCTATAAGAACTTCAGAGATAACTAATCTCATATTAAGGGAAGAGTGTTTTATCCGCGGAGAAACACTGTTTTTGATGCTAGATTTTGCCTGAAAAACCTGATCGATTTCAAACATTTTAATTTTACTTCATACCTCGGCAACTATTCAGCAAGTTTGCTGCAACCGTTAGAACACTTTACGGACATATTTTGTAAATAAACATTCCCTAAATCGGGTTGGCAAGTGAAGAGAAAATTTTTTTTGAGATTTTTGATTTTTCTAATAGTGGCTCGTCGCAGAGTTTGGCTCATTCTCGGAGACTGATGAATAATTTGAATAGTTTGAATCATTAAAACAAGGACAAGGCCAGTACAAAAATAAAACTGTCGAGAAAACCTCTGCCTATAAGAAGTTATTTTGAAAATTAATTTAAACAGCTTAGTAATGCACAGAAATTTAAAACTGTAACAAGACTGCTCATATCAGGGCAAAGCCCTGAATGTTCCGATAACCTTTTAAGGTCTATGGAGCAGTAATAACAAGAAAAATTTAAAAATATTAAAATAAAACAAAAATTAAAAAAAAAACGATTTTTTTGTAAAAACATTCACCCACACGCCATATTAAGTACAAGGATAAGGCCAGTACAAAAATAAAATTGTCGAGAAAACCTCTGCCTATAAGAAATTATTTTGAAAATTAAATTAAACAGCTTAGTATTGCACAGAAATTTAAAACTGTAACAAGACTGCTCGTATCAGGGTGAAGCCCTGAATGTTCCGATAGCCTTTTAAGGTCTATGGAGCAGTAATAACAAGAAAAATTTAAATATATTAAAATAAAACAAAAATCTTTAAACCCCCATAACTTTACAAAAAAGGATCACAGGTGAAATATTTTTTCAAATTTAGGCTCAGGACAACAATACTTTTTGAATGATTTGAAAAAGCCCGGTCAAAAATGGCTAGTTAAAAAGTCGAAATTTGTCTGAAGAAAAAAAACCCACCGCGAGCACAAATATTCCGTTACTTTCGTTACGAAAGTCGGAACAACAACAAGATGTCTTCAGTAATGGACTTTTGAGGAAACTAACTTACGAAACAATTTACCAAACCGAGTAAGATTCATTAAATCATTAAGTATTCCAGTTTGACTATATTTGCAAGAAAATTTTAGTTGATTAACAACTATGTAGCAAAACAATTAACTACTACGCAAAAGATAACTATCGCTTGTAACCCGTTCGGAAAAACTCCCAGTTTATGGAGAAAACTCAAAATCTTTTGAGTCTCTCACAACAAGAAAACATTGGAAGACAAAATATGACAGAAATGGGATGTTAAATTCTCACAAATGAGTGAGATTCAATTAGCCAACACAAGCGAAAAAAAAATCGAACCCTAAAAAAATACAAACCACTGCCGCCTGAATTAAAGATGAGTTTGATTGTATCAACAAAAATTTGTACTTTCAAGTTTTGATTTGTACAGGAATTTTTCTTTTACAAATATCTAAATTTTCTGTTAAAAATCCCTCGATTTCTTTCTTTGACCTTGAGTTTTTTAAATGGTGTAAGCAAATTTGTCGCAAGTAAAGTCAAAAGTTTTTTAAAGCAAAAACCAATACAGCATAAGGCGAACATATGATGTCGAAATTAGATACAAGAGACACTTCGCAGAAACATATCAACTGGTAACTTTTTTCCACTCATGTAGAGCTATAGATGTTTCAAAAAAGCATTTTCTTCGAACTTTGAAAGAAACCGCAAACTTTCCTGCAGTTTCAACTAGAAGCCATTTAAGTCGCGACTGCTTCACCGAGTAATTTTGTTCCGCTATTTTTTAGCGTAAATAAACTTTATTCCATCATAATTTTTTGAACTTCTCAAGTTATTCGTGCTCAAAAGTTCAAGTTGAAACTAATTAACATGGTCAAAATTTTAAGTGGATCATAATTTGAGATAAAGCTAGGGAAACAACTGGTTGGACAATTTAGAAAAAAAAAACAGTTTTGATACTATTTATCAGCCGAAAAAGTCCAAGTTAAGAAAATCAAATTTAAGATGAAAATCAAATTCGGTTATGTAGTCATTTTTCCTACAGAATCGTCATCTGAAGAAGATACTTTGTACAAAACCACGTTTGCGTCCTTGTAAAAAATTTAAACTTTTAATTTATCAGACACATAATGCGTTGAAAAAATCGAATCACCGAAATTTGTTCGACGTGTAAGTTTTTCTGTATAACTACACTAGTTAAAAATTATAATTCGACGTAAGTTCACTGTAGGTTTCAAAATACAGTCAAAAGTACTAGATTCAACGAAGTTTTCCATGGTTTGCCATGCATGCTTCTAACACGCCATCATTGACGAAAAATCTAGTCGATAAGTTAGCCTTGAATCAGTGTTTTTGACAGCGTTATAGTAAGCTGCAAAAACTCGGACGATTGAAGAGCAGACAAAAAAAGCTTCGATGAAGAAAAATTCTGTTTGTTGATCCAAAAACAATGTATAAAAATGTTCTAATTTTAAGTTTCAACGTCCACTCAAGCTGATTACTCAAGCATAAA